GCAATCCTGGCTCATTGCAGGCATGATTACTCTAAATCCATGCCCTTGCTTGCTAAACTGCCACTGAGGCCCCCATTTCAGGTGTTCACTAAGAAACAGGCACCTCAGTGGCAGTTTAATGGAAACCCTGAGTAGGAATAAATCCAATGAATGACCTGCAACTTTGTTTTTTTTTTTTGAGACGGAGTTTTGCTCTTGTTACCCAGGCTGGAGTGCAATGGCGTGATCTTGGCTCACCGCAACCTCCGCCTCCTGGGTTCAGGCAATTCTCCTGCCTCAGCCTCCTGAGTAGCTGGGATTACAGGCACGCACCACCATGCCCAGCTAATTTTTTGTATTTTTAGTAGAGACGGGGTTTCACCATGTTGACCGGGATGGTCTCGATCTCTTGACCTCGTGATCAACCTGCCTCGGCCTCCCAAATTGCTGGGATTACAGGCTTGAGCCACCACACCCAGCCATGACCTGCAACTTTCTATACTGAAAACTAGAAAGCATTGGTCAAAGCAATAAATAAATGGAGTAATATACCGCATTCATAGATTGGAAGAGTCAATATCACGGTCAATTCTTCCCAAATTGAGATTTAAATTCAATGAAATCTTAATTAGAATCTCATTAGGGTTTTTTTTTTTTTTTTTTTTTTTTTTTTTTTTTTTTTTTTTTTTTTTTTTTTTTTTTTTTTTTTTTTTTTTTTTTTGGATTTGATGATCTGATTCTTCAATTTATATAGACAGTGAAAGGAACTGAAAGTAGCCAAAATAATCTTGAAGCAGAAAAACAAACTTGGAGGAATTAATGTCTCAGATTTCAAGATTTTATATAGCTGAAATAACTAAACGTGATGTGTGCACAAGGAGAGATGAACCAGTGGAACAAAACGGTTCAGGAACAGACTTGCAAACACATCTGATTTTTAACAAAGGCTCTACTACAATGAAATAGGTTAGTTTTGTTGATTGTTAATCAGTGTTTATTTGAAAATAATGGGCCTTAGACCTGTCTTATTTCATACACAGAAATTTAATTTAAAATGGATAATAGACCTAATGTGAAAAGTAAAACCATAAGTTTCTAAAAATTAGGATAATAATTTGTGACTTTGCAGTAGTCAGATTTCTTTAAAAAGATACACAAAAAATACTATTCATAAAAGAATGATAAATAGAAACTTACTGAGAATTTGTTCATCAAAATACAACATTAAGAGAGTAAAAAGGCAATACAGAGACCAGAAAAAGATATCTTCATTTTATATATATGAGACAAAGGACTTACATTCAGAATATATAAAGAACTCCTACCAATCAAAAAGAAAAAGGCAACCAAATGTAGAAATAGGCAAGAGACTCACATGTAGTATTTTACAAAAAAAAGAGATCCGCATGATCGGTAAGCATTGAAATGGCACTTAATTAGCCAGCAAGGAAATGCAAATTAAAACTACAATGAGATATCACACCTTCAGCCATTAGCTTTTTTCTTTCCAATCATTTGATATTTTATTTCTTTTAATTGCCTTACTGTACTGGCCAGGACTTCCAGAGGACAGTGCTGTGAAGAATGGGTAAAAGGACAGTTGTCATAATCCTGAACTTGGGGAGAAAGCATTTAATATTTCACCATTAAGAATGTGTTTTTTCTAAATACTCTTTATCATATTGAAAAAGCTCCCTTCTAGTCTGTTTACTGAGATTTTTAAAAATCATGAACAAGTTTTAAATCATATCAAAATGGTTTTTCTCCCTCTGTTGAATCATGAGTTTTCTGTTAATGTGAAAAATGCTTATTTTTAATACTAAACCAACTTTTCACTTCTGCCACAATCCCCACTTAGTCATGATATATTATACACACATACATGTATATACAATTTATTCATGTTTCATATTTGTATAGGATTTTTGTTCCTATGATCATGGGGAGTATTTGTCTATTTTTCATTTTTTTAATGTCCTTGTGAGGTTTTAGTAGTGTATCAGGGTCACTCTGCATTCATAAGATGAATCATGAAGTTATTCCTTCTACTTCCTGGAAACATTTGTTTAAGATGGGTATTATTTTTTTCCTTAAGTATTTGAAAGTATTTTCTAGTGAAGTCACCCAGGCCAGGGAGTTTTCTTTGAGGGAAGTTTTTAAATTACTGATTAAATTTCTTTAACAGATACAGGATTTCTTGTGTCAGTTCTGCTTTTGTTTTTCAAATTGTCTATTTAAACTGTTAAATTTAATTCAGCATAAGATAGCTCATTATCTTCTCCAGTTATTTTAATATCCAGATAATTTGTTTCCTTTTTGATCCTGATGCTAATGCTTTCTCATTTTTCTTGATCAGTCTTGTTAGATTTATTCATTTTATTGATTTTTCCCCAGAGACCTACCTTTTGGATTTGCTGGCTTTTTTCTATTATATAATCAATTTTCTATTTCATTGGTTTCTCCATCTACCTTTTATTCTCACAATTAAGTGTTTTTTAAGTTTATTCAGAGTTGTACAACCCTCACCATAATCTTAGAACATTGCATCACTTCCAAAAGAAATTCCATAAACAGTAGCAGTCACTCCTCAATCCTGTTTTCCTACTCTGTCCCCTCTCCAGCTCCTGGCAACTGCAAATCTACTATGTTTGCCTATTCTGGACATTTCACATAAATGGAATCATGTACACAGCCTTTTGTGACTGGCTTCTTCCACGTAGCATATTTTCAAGGGTCTTCTATGTTGTAGCCTGTGTCAGTAATTCATTCTTTTTAAATGTCAAATATTTTAAGTTCCATTGTGTATATATATACAGATGCTCTTTGACTTACAGTGGCGTTATGTCCTGATTAATCCATTGTAAGTCAAAAATGCATTTAATACCCAGATATACCCATTGTAAGAGTTGAAAAATTGCTAAGTTGAATCATTGTCAGTTGGAGACCGTCTATACTATATTTGCATATCCATCTATTAGTTGATCAACAGGTTATTTCTACTTTGTGATTATTATGAATAATACAAATATGAACATTCACAAAAAGTTTTGTGTGAGTATATTTTCATCATTTCTCTTGGTGATGTACCTAGGAGTTGGAATTAGTGAGGCATGTGCCATCTCTGTATTTTTTTGAGGAACTACAAAGCAGTTTTCTGAAGTGTCTTCACCACTTTACATCCCTGCCAGAGATGTGTGAGCATTCCAATTTGTCCCCATCTTCACCAACACTTGCTTTTGTATATCTTTTTTATTTTAGCCATCCTAATGACTACAATGTGATATTTCATGGTTTTCATTGATATTTTTCTAAGGACCAAGTAGGTTGGACATCTTTTCATGTATTGGCCATTTGTATATATCTTCTTTGGGGGAAATGTCTCTTCAAATCATTTGTCCATTTAAAATGGTTTTTTTTTTCTTTTTTTATTGTTATGAGTTCTTTATGTATACTGTATTCAAATTTCTTCAACTATTTTGCTAATGTTTTTCCCATTTATGGGTTGTCATTTTACTTTCTTGAGGGTGTCCTTTGACACACAAGTTTTTAAGTCCAGTTTATCCTTGTTGTCATTTGTGTTTTAAGAAACCATTGCCTAACCTAAGGTCATGAAGATTTACTCCTTTGTTGTCTTCTAGGGATTTTATAATTTTAGCTTTTATAACCAGAGATATAACCAATCATTTTAAGTTACTATTTGCAAATGGTGTGAGGTAGGGATCCAAATTCATTCTTTTGTATGTGGATACTCTTTTTTTGATTTACTTCATCTTATTTTGGGTTTGTTATTGAGATAAAAGCTTAGGTTCCCAATTTCCACGTTTTACTTTTCTAATATACAATATTTATTTAGTGTTATACATTTCATTTTTTTTGGCTGTCATATTTTCATTAACACTCAAGTAAAAATTATGTTTTCACTGCAATTTCTCTTTGACTCTTTGGTTATTGATTTAGTGGTCACTTAATTTCTAAGCTTTTGGGATTTTGTAGACTTACTTTATTGCCAGCATATAATCTAATTTGGTAAGCAGCCCACATGCATGTGGGAAGGAAATGTCCCCATGGCTGTTTAATGTAGTGTTCTACAGTAATCAATGAGATCAAGCTAAGGTCTAGGCATGCCTGCCATGTGATTAGAGGCAGCTTCAGATGATAATTCTAGCTTCCAGTTGCTGACTGAAGCAGACAAGCCACATATCCCCACCTTGCCCTGTTTAGACTCCTCAGCAAAGAATTTGTAAATTTAATACAGTGATTGTTTTATGCCATGAAGTTTTGGGATGATTTGTTATGTAGCAATGGCAAGAGAGCTATTCTATTTTGTAGGCTTGATGTTTATGAGAAAATCTATGCTTTTGTGTAATCCTTAAGGAATTTGGGATTATTAAACCAGAGTTTTAGAAAACAAATTCTAGCACAATATATTTTATACACATTTGGAAACAGCCAAGACGAGATTAAAATATTGACATTTTATAGCTCTAAGTTTAGTAGGTAGTATCATACTCCTGAACAGAGTGTCACCAAAAGTTATATATAAAATCTCATGCCTTTTCGTATGCTTAATTATATGGTAATTGTGTGTGTATGAAAGAAAACAAAGCCCAAACAGAAATTCACAAATGAAATATACTGTTGAAGGCAATGTTTGTTAAGTTCTGAAATGTAGAAGAGGGTACTACATAATTTCTGCTTTACAAGTGGAGGAAAAAAAGTATTTCTGGCTATCGTGATTTCAAACTGCTGAGCCACAAACCTATCAGAATACTGCAAATCTCTCTCTGAAGTAAACAGGCTTCTGCATCTTTGCTCACTGGTCTAGACAGCTGCCATGTGGGTTCCCGTGCTTCTGGCTGGCTCAGTTAGCAGATCTCTTAGGTAAGCATAAGGCCTGGTCTTGAGGTCCTGTATGATTTCATTAGGCATTTGTAGTGCTCTGTGGTCTCAGGGTTGCTAGGTAGAAACGTTTAAAAGTACAATTGTTTCTTTTGAGCCACTAAGGTAAAAAAATGCAAAGGTACAGTTAAAGAAAAAGGCGTTTATTTAGGCCATCGACTAGGATCATAATAAATAATGCAGTATACTGATGTAATAACAGATGTTCTCATGCATTTATCGTGGTTATAAATATACAAGAAAGCTGGCTTATGGGGCTGTTAGGGCAAATTTGGAAAGGTGTATTTGGCAATTATACAGTAAAAGTTAACAGTGTTGACTATCAGACATTCTCTTTTCTATCAGTTTTTAGAATACACCCCTATACATCTGTGAATAAATGGTAATGGTCTCTTAGAGTTTCTATTTTTTTGTGAACATACCAGAGTTAAGTCAATTGTCAAAAGATCCAGGCTGACAATTTGTTATTTGTCAATATTTCCAATGAAAAACAGATATTAGAAAAGTGAACTCTTCTGCATTTCAATGTAGAGGCTGATATATTACAAGCCGGAATCATTCAAACAATAAAATGTGCCTCAATGAAATAAAAGTAGTTTATAAATAGTAACTCTGATACTCAATATACAAATGCTATATTATTGCATTTGTAATTTGGTAAGTAAATGACCGTATATCTGACTGCAAAAGTGATGAACTTTTTGATTAAAGCTTAATTTTGCTAGTAGATTTCATACCAAGGGTTAAAATAGGACAATCTTTAACATAAAGCTTTAGGGCACATAATTTAAACATATCTGAAACACTAAAAATGTGTTTTTAATTGTTATTTACAGTTAACCAATGATACCAGTGTTTAGCTTAATTCAGCCAATTGCCAGTCTTGACTCCCTCTTTCAACATCTGTTATTAAGATCTTCCTTATAAATACTTAAGCAAATTAATTTAGTGAAGGAGAGCGATCTGTGGTCCAGAGTAACTCAATGTATGGCCATTTGGTTTGGAGACAGCGTTTAATAGGAGTATCATCTGTCTGCAGCATGGGATCTTCAAAACCCATTACAACTGCCGTCCCTTCTACGTACATAACCTGTTGAACAAAATACCAAGGTCCATCAACAATCTTAGCAAATTCTTACGTGGAATGAAAAGCTTAGCAAATAAGGTATTACATATTGTTTCAAATGGAACTTTATATCTAATTTTATTTTGTTAGAAATTATGAGCAAGAATATCTGTTTACCAGTTAATATGAAAGTAAACTTGTAAATGATATTTAATTGCTAGCTGGCCAGGTGATTTTTAAGAATCATAAAACACATACGGACTGTTTCTAAGTAAAAACATTCTTCAAAGGATCTATAGCATTTGAAAGAAATGTTTAATGATCATATTTACATATGATTTATATAGGTCCTACACTTTAATACTGAGGTACTCAGATGCTCATGCTGCCCCATGAAATGGAGAGCTATGAAAGGAATATAGCTATTATGTGTTAGGGAAGAGGTCACTTTCTCCTTCTAATTTAAGTACTGAATTTCTAGAGCTGAAAACAATTGGCATGTTTGTCATCAAAATTTGCTATTATGGTATTGAGTGCATTTTGTACAGCATGAAAAATCATGGAGAAAAAATTAAAAAGGATGTCAGATACTATATATGCGGTGGCAATGATCACATAAATATATCCTGGCAGGTGAATACCAAGAAAAGTTTCGTTCTGATTAATCTACAATGAAACATGTTAAAAAAGTATCTTGGAGATAACATACCAACAAAACCCCTAACTCGTTACCAAGGGCTCACTGTGGACATTAAGGCACTCCTCAGTGATTCGACGCTAAGTGAAAAGAAACAGATATAGACTGTCTTTTTCCAAAGTACGTAAAATTATTTTTACACATTCACTGGCTGATACGGCTGAGTGTAATTACGTTCTTCCAAAATAAGAGCCATAAGCTATTTAATTAAGGAGTCAAAAGAAACAACTTTCTTATCCTTAAATGGTAGTTGCCTCTAAAACACATTAAATATAGGAATGGATTACTAGATCAGATAATTTTGTGTCATAAATCTACTCCTTTCTATAAAAGCTCTAAAGATATATTTTAATGTCAAATGCATTTTTGGCATCTTTAGTTAATATATTAGTTTCTAGTGCTGATGAAATAAATGTACATTAAAACTACAACCCTGGCTTTTCAGTCCCCAAAGCAAAAGTGCCTTTCCTGAAAAGTTACACACAAAGAACATAATTCAAGTTATTAGATACAACAGGCCCTGTTTTTCACAAAGAACTTCTCATGCTCATGTAATAGAGCAGAAGTGCCTGGACAAAGCACCATGACCCACCTCCACGGCCTCAACAAGCCTCGGATGCCGGGTGACTCAGACTCCATCCCACTTTGCCAGCATTTGCCTTTTGTCTGTTTCTTTTTTAATAGGACCTCCTTATATTTTTAGCTCCTGAGTAACTTCAAAACGCATTTCTGTGACTTAGTGACATCCATACTTTGCTTTATAGCTGTTGTATATTACTGTCATTTTCACAGTTCATCTGTTTTGTTTTCTAATCTTTTTTAGTGTCAGAAGCTCGTCACAAGCATGACTTGAAAACTTACTATATAGAGGCAGCATGGCCAAGCAGATCAAGGACAGGAGTGGGAATCAGGAACTCAGTTCCAATCCCTGCTCTGCCAATGACTTGCTGTGTGACCCTGGGTGAGTCACTTAATCTCCCTGTCTCAGATGCTTCATCTGTAAAATATGGATAATATTTGACCTATCTTGCAGGGATTGTGTGGGTGAATAATTAGTGATTATAAAGTACCTCCTATTACAAAGCTGTGCAAACGTCAAATTCTAGATGAAGCACTCATTCACACAGTAGAAAACAGCATCCAAGTGTTCTTGTTGACAATGTATATTCTTTGCTTATATATATAGATACTTGGACCTGATAAAAACATCCAGTTTATATTTTGTTATAAAGAGTACATTTTAGTCTTTTAGATTTGGTCTAATTAAAATTACGTACTTAATTTACCCTACCTTTTTTCTGTAACCTTCCACAATTTAGATACATGAAGCCAGCATGGGTAGGGCAAATTAAAAGGGAATGTTGGACCTTACTTCTTTCATATTAGCTATATCTACTGTAACTGATAGTTGAATAAATGCAAAGATAACAGACACTCAAAAAGGGGAAATCAATGCAAGTGAACTCTTGCTTTAAGCCAGGTAAGTACACTTGGCAGTCAATCACCTATGTGCTTTGTCAATGGTTTGCAAAGGAAAGCTGCAAAGCATAATGGGTAGGAGTATGGGCTCTGAGCTGGACTAAGTTCTACTCCCAGCTCTGTCATTTCCTGGCTACTTGACCTGTAAAATTGGGATATACAGACAACAATTACTTCATAAGGTGGTATGAAACTTAAAATATTTAATACAATTCCAGGTAAATGCTCAATAAGTGCTAGCTCCTAAGGTTATTTTTTCCAGTCAAAAATTTCAATGTTACCTTCCTTTCTTTAAATGGATCAGTAGCATCTTTCACCAGACTAACTGTAACGTTGCTTTGGAAACACGCTACATTGCCAAGGGTAGCAGTCTGCATGTTTTAGTCACGGTGAAGCTACTGCTCTGAAGTCCAATGTCCATCTCCAATGTAGGCTAACATGTACTAGTCAAATTGAAAGATGACCAATTCTAAAATGTGTCATCGTAGTAAAGAGACACCTGGAATAATCTTAGGTAGCAATTGTAGAGAATTGAGCATTGTTATATACTCACATACTGTACTTATTTCATCAACCCAGCTGAAGACCGATGACTACGTGAATTATCATACCTTTTCATTATAGTTTGACTGCTTCAATCCATTGTAGTGGTAGACAGTAAAAGATTCCGGACCACTGGAGCCCTATTATAAATAAAGTACTATTAAAACTTTATATATTGATATCAGGCAATTTCAAATCAACTGAAAGTAAAATGCTTGTTTTTCAAATCCTTATCCTTTGATTGAGGACTCATTTGACAAAACAAGCAATTTAGATTCATGGAGTTAACTACCAGGAAGCCCTGAAGGTGAGAGGTGCCTCTGAAGAAGATGCTGCGAAGTAGGGAAGGTTGATTTCTATTACAAGCTCCTCCACACTTAAACTTATGTTTTTAATTATGCATGTATCACTATATTTTTTTTTCAAAAGACAAGCTTCTAAAACACAAAAATAATTCCTAACACATCTCTTTTTCTATGTAAATAATTTGTTCCTCTCAATGAACAGAGAAAAGCAGTAGCATCACTTTTACTCAGACTAAATACACTTTCAGCATGTACCCATACTTCCAGTTTGGCACACAATATTGAATTAGTGGTTTCCTTTCCAAAAAATATCCAATACAGTATTTGAATATTGTTAACAATTAGTGAAAAGAATACTGTGCGAAAAAAACGCACACTGCTCAAGGCAACTTTAATGATATCCAATAAAGAAAGGATAGCCTATATACCACGAATAGACTAAACTTCTGTAGAAAAATGGGTGGTGTTATTCCCACTATCTTAACCTTGCTTTTTAATGAGCTAAAGACCAGGTTCAACCCTCTTAACCTAGCATTCAAGGCCATCACTGGCCTGGTTCCCAGTGATTTCCCTCAGTGCCTGAATAGATAGCCGTCGTCTTCCTGGCCATATCTGATGGATACAAGGGTGGACATGTGGCCTTCCTTCGAATTTGTTCCAACTGAAATTAAGGGAAGGCAGCTGTTAGCAACTGGAGCTTCAGCTCCTAGAGAAAGGCTGTGAGAATGCAGCCGCTTTAGAGGGAGGTGATAGGAGGTGGCGATGCTCCCAGTGCTGTTCAAGGGCTCCATAAGCACCTTCCCAGCGCTTGCCTCTTCAATTCACCTGAGCTACTCCTTCCCTTTGTGTATTTCCCTCTCACTTACTCCAATCCAGGTTGGGGTTCTGTGACCAGCAATCAAGAGTCTTCAAACAGTACAGGGCTTAATCTACCTTTTCAGTCTTATCTCCAACTACTCACCTTTCTGAATTCTGTTTTGGACAAGCATGACTCGTTTGCTCATGAAAAGATCTTTTGTTGGTCTTTGGTACATTCATGATTTTTTTTTTTTTTTTAACTCCTCTCTAAAATGCCCTCATCTCCTTCCTTTTCCAGACCGCTGTAAATCTTACTTTTTCTGTAAAGTTTTTCCTGAACACACTAGTTGGTTCTTTACTACACTGAAACTTAACCTTTATAACAAAAATTGTCTAAATAATTTGAGAATGAATCATACAGTACTTTGTATCATCTTTTCTATTGCTATTTTGAAAGACTTCAGCTTTTCATGTCTTATATTCCCAACTAAAGCCAAAACTTATTTTTTTTGTTTATATTCCACTGAAAATGCTTTCATGAGTCAATGCAATTAGTTACATAATTTGGCTCTTGACTATCAAAGTAAAATTATTTAAACTTAAAAAATAACCATTTTCCTGTAACTGAATATAATATCTATTTTCTATTTCCAGTAATTAACTGGCATAAAATACAGAAATACCAACAAAAGGTAGTGTGGCACAGTGGTAAAGTGCATAGACTATGGGGTTAGACAGACTATGTTGGATTTCTGAATCAGCTACTAAAATATTAGTGTATGACCTTAACCGTTTTAAGTTCTCTAATCCTGTTTCCTCATTGTCAAAATGAGGAAATATTAGTATCGAATTTAGAGGGCACACAGTGACCGATGAAGAATATGTGCTTATGAGCGCATGGGAGCTGCTTCTGCTATTCTTATCATAAATGAATGGTCTTGAAAAGATTATAAATATTCCCACTTTTCTGCTGTTTTTAACAGGAATATTATCTATTATATTCATAACTAAGAATCAATATTTCTATCAAATGTTCTGATACCAGCCTTGAAATAAAATTTTATCTCAAAGTTTAAAATGCTATAATTCTTTATCCAGCTATTTAGAACATCAGAGTCCAATATAAAAACAAAATCTAGTAGTCAGAATGTAAAAAAAGAGGGTATCACACTCTAGGGTCTAATGTTGGAAAACAAATGTTTCATGAAGCCTTTACCAAAGTTTAAAAAAGTCCAGTAGTCGAGATATGTGATACCCTCAGTTACTTTTTGAATCCTACCTCTTTAAGAATTTCATTAACACTTTTATCTTGCATTTTAACAATCTTAACTGCATCTTGAATTTTAGTAATTATATTTTGAAATTTTCCCTCTAGCTTTTAAAATTGTTGTCAATCTCTCTCTCAATAGAGGTAAAATAGAAATTGGAACGTCTATTGAAACAATGAACTCCAGTGGAAATTATACTGATATCTGATAAAATGACCATGATATACATTATCTAGTTAAGTAATTTGATTTCGTGGTAAAATGTTTCACGTAGAGAGCAAAGACAAAAGGATGCATGTTGGATATAGAATCGGCTTGCCAATGATGCAGACATAACTGAAAAACATTAAGGACGGCACAGATTCTTCTGCTATTCCAGGTAACTGAGCTCCTATGGAAGCCCAGGGGAAGACATATCCCAGTGTGAAACAGCGCAGACCCACTCAAGTTTTCTTCCACACAACTGAAACTCTCCTGCAACCTGGCTTCTCTAGGTAGGGGCTCCTACTACCCACAGCCACCCTGACTTTCTCTCACAGTATTTCAAAAGGTCTAAAGACAAACATGCCAATCTACTAACAGTTTCCCGAGAGAAGAAAAATGGAGGTGGGAGTGGGGAAAGAGAATATTTTTACTCCACAAACTTTTGAACTGTTCTCTCCACATCATTACGTGTATGGACTGGCGTCTGCGCCATCTTCCACTACCCTCCCTGTCAAGGCACTACGTTACCATATTTGAACACACATTCCCTCTGTCGGGGAAAGTTTCCAAGTAACGGTGCTTTCTTAGACTCATATCGGCATGTTAGGACATTGTACACAAACAGAGAAAATGCTGCAAACAATCACAGGTAATCACCCCAACAGAACAACAATAAATATATTTTCTCAACTATGTTACCTGATCAGGAAAGAATTCTTGAAGAAATGGGCCCAACAGTATGATTCCTAAGCCTTCTGGATCTAATTTATTCTTCATGAGATTTATGCTATGGGGAGAAAAAAAGAAAAACACTGGATACCAGAGGAAAAAAAAAGCTGCTTTTCTTTCATGATTAAATTACTGGTACCGCCACACATTCAAATGCCAAAAATACTAAGAGCTGTTCTTTTTAGAGGCTTAATGACAAATACAAAGGAATGACATCTAATTTGCCAAAACTTGGTTATTTTTAAACTAATCTGTTACTATTTAAAATTTAAATTACGATGACTTTGGAATATTGTTCCTTATTAGGTAATGTAATTTAAAAAACAAGGTTTATAAAGGCTTGTTACTTCCCAAAGGCAAATTCTCTTTGCTTTATAGGTATGCCTGAATTTAACAAACAAAAAGTTCATTTTAAGACCAAGGAGAAAAAGAAACAGGGTCAAAGGCAGTGGTACATCAGATAATAGAAAACATCTCTTAAAAAATTTGCTTTTAAGAACTAAATGAGATAGAAGCTTAAAATTCACAGATGATGTAATTTGAGGGTTAAAGAGCTGCATTAATTCTCAAAGAACTAGTATGTCCTGAATGACAGTGAGTGATAGATACTACATTGGTCCAAAAGCAGCCTAAAGTGAGTACCAGCCCTTACCATGTAAGTGTACCAAGGCTGGGGACAGGTGGTGGTATGTTACCAGAAAGAAGGCAGAGCAAAGCAGACTGCAGTTTAATGGCTTTAAAAATGCAAACAGTCTTCAAAGTTTTACTTTCCATCCTATCTCAAATGATAAAGGCCAAGTAAAATCTACCTTATTATACAACATGCAGTGTTGTGTTTGGGGGTTTCAGGTGGTTCTAGTCAACCAACTTCCTCGGGCAAATTCTCCCCTTTGAGTTTGCCTCAAAGATGAGTCTAGACACCATTTGAAACTTGGGAGATCCATCTTCCTCTCTTTTATCTGTATTCGGTCTGGGTCAGTTACCAGGTGTGCCTCTCACAAAAGGAGTTGAAGCTATTCTTGTGAGGGTAAGCTTTGTTTTAAGGTTTCTGAAGGCTGCATCTGCACTGACGTAGCTGTCTGTCCTAAAAACCCCTGGGCCAGGCTGCATCACAGTCCTGCTGCCTGCCACGTAGTACTGGTCCTGTGAGATGCTCTTGTGTGCCTGTGGCCATCATTCTCGTACAGTATACTATACAAAAGATTCGGCATTTTAATGGGTGTCAGTAAGGCCAGGAAGTTATGATGAAACAAATGAAGGCAGGGTCATAATATATTTAATTCATTTAATGCTTACGATGGCCCAGTTATTTTATGGGCCATCCCGTATTGTAATTCTAACTAGGCCAAAGTACAGAGTGAATAACTCAGTCCAATCTTTCAGATACTTCAAGAAAAACTACCTCATTAAATCAATTGTACTAACTTTATGATTCAAGGTATGTTTTCTATCAGATAAAACAAGGAAAATTAGGCAGATGATATATAGCTATGTAAGAATTTGGGGGGAAAAAAACCTCCCAACTTGTTGTTCTTTCTCTTCCTTGTCATAAAGCTGGTCAGTAACAAAAATTACTTGAGTTAATTTTCTTTTGTAATTAGAGCAGTGTCTCCACTTGGAAATAAGGTTAGAAGTATAGTAATTATTATCATAACATTTGTTGGGCTACTTCAACACTCTGAATTTCTCCTCTTTAAATTGAAAACTACAAATATTAATATTTCTAACTATTGAGAATGGATGAAAGTACAGATCTAGGTAGTAGGGTTGAGACAGATTAATTCAGATGTGACTAACTTATAACTGTTTAGATATGTATCGCATACTTTCAAAGAGAGCATGACTGAACTCATTTAAAAACAGAATAGGACCAAATTATAAAACTGTGTCCACCAATGTTTCCTGTTGCTTTTGCTGAAGACTTTCATTATGTTTGATAAGCTAAGTTTCATTACGTTTAATAGGCTAAAGGTTTTTCATTCTTAAAAAAAACTTGCAGAAAGAAAAAACTATGCTGAAAAAAACGAATAATATATTCTTATTTTTTCATAGATAATAACTGAAGATCTTAATCTACGTAGGAAGCTGTAGATGTAACAAGGTATAAAACGTAACAGTGAGAATGAAGACAATGACAGGATCCTAAGGACATGCTGAAAAATGATAGGCCATAATTTACTGCAGTCATTCTCAAAACATTCAGGTCAGTTAATGTAATTATTTAGAAATGTTAGGTATCTTTGATCATCTCTATTTAAGAGGGAAAGTCAGGCCCGCTGATTATTTAAGCAGGGCAACTGGCAGTTACCTATAGCACACAGAGCAGTCACCGCTTTACTGAAGCTCCTACAGTCACATAAAATGTTAGGACATGGGGAAGTCTTTGCAGAGAAAAAACTCTTTGAAGTTTACAGAAAGACACTTTTAGCACTTTTGAAAAAGCAGGACAGTAACTGCTGGCTTGGAAAGGAAGCTCAGTAAGTATGTCAACTGCTGTAACACTGGATTAGTCCGTTTTCTTTCTAAATCTTTTATGTAAATTGCTAGTTCATATATGCAGATATAGATTTTTAAAGGCAAAAATGTACAATATGTCTTCAACTTAATCGAATCTTTTTGAGTTGGCTAAATGAACAGCTTACTATTCAGGATCTGAAACAAGGTCCAGTGCTTTCATCACATCTTCCAGAAGTGAATCGGGTATGAATCCATTATCTAGGGGTGGAAAAATCAGAAACAACTTGAAATAAGAATTTACCTCAAGAAATCCTACTACTGCTGATCAGATTCCAGGAAAAAAAATCGCATGAAAAATACGAAAAGTTAAGGAATAGTATGTTACGTTTATTTTAGGCACAGTGCCTATTTTTATTAGATACTCTGTTCTATTAGTTTTCTTGGAAATATAGGCAAAGATTTTCTAGGTTAGTTTCAAATAAAAAGATCATCTAACTTCTACTTGAGAACTCCAAGGAAAGTTTACAGTCAAATTATTTGATCTTTAAACAGTGTTACAATGTTAAGTGGGTAAAATATTTCTCTACTTAAAATCTTTAGTAATTAGGTGTATCTTTCAATAAACAAAGTAAACCTTTACATTCTCATTAAAAATTTCAATTAAACAATTCCTTACCAACAAATTCCCTTTGTCACAATGATATTTAGCTCCTTGAAGAACATTGCAATTTAGACAACTGACAGGTAAAAGCAAACATATTCTAAAACAGACTTGGTGATTTTACTGAAAGCTATAGGTTAAAAAAACTGAAATGCAGTGTTAAATTAATGCTGATGATGACGATTTTATGGAAAAAGGTCCATACTCTGATGATACAATAGACCATGACACACACAAAATCCTTGTGGGATAGTTTGAAATGATAGTAGTTTTAAACAAGTAAGTTGTTTATTCCTTACATGTACAGTGCCCAAGTTCCCCTATCCATTTACTCATTCCTGAAGATTGTCTCAGCTTTAAATCAGCTTCCAATATCTTTCAGGGATTAGATGATTAAAAAAAAAATTTGCCATGGAGAACAAGCTGTCCAAAACCCCTGCTCCTATAATCAAACTACAGAATAAAGTATGCAGCTGCTCTTTCAGGATGTAGAATTGTGCACTATCTCTATCAGAAAGGAATGAAGTTATGACTGTAGAAAGATCTTTTCTATACTTAAACCTTATAAGGAGCTGTTTATCCATTTGAAGACAGACTAGCCTTGACTAAAAGGTTTCGAGTCATTTAGGATAATTAAAAATGTACAATTTTTTAAGTGAAGGGTTAGAGTAATTCCAATTTGTCAAGTTACCAATAATTTGAGGTATTGAGAATAAAGACCTTGGTTGAAAGCACTTGTAAAAACATTCAAGCTCTGTGGGCTTAGCTATGAAGAGTCTGATCACTGATTTTGCTTAGTTAAGTCACAGCTAAAGGCTCAGCATCTCTGAATGTGAAACGGGCTTTACGTGGCCACTAGCAGACAGGAATAATTAGGTTTCTGGGTTTATAGGCTATATGCATTTGACATTACAGATGGAGTCTCCCTCATCCAAAATCCTTGGGTCTAGAAGTATTTTGGATTTCAGATTTCTTCTGGCTTTTGAATATTTGCAAATATATAATGGTTGAGCATCCCTAATGTGGTCTGAAATCTGAAATGCTCCAAAGTGTCATATTGGCACTCAAAATTTTGGAGGATCAACTTTTCAGGTTAGGGATGCTCAATGTGTACAACGTTCTTCAGGAGTACTGACAGCATATATTTTATCATGGCTGGCAGCCCTTTGGTAGAAACCATAACCTGTAACTCAGCTCCCACCCCAGGAAAGAGCTAATTGGCTGTATAAAGGCACAAATGACAACAACAAAAACAACAATGTCACCTTCTTAACAACATGCTCAGGTATGATTAACCTCAAGCTTAAACATATTTAAGGTAGCTCTGAGATTTACAATTCATAAACACAGATATTCTGAAGTGTAACTGTAACTGCACCTGGTCAGTGACTCTACATTTTGTACATTTAGTATTTTAAAACTGAAGATGTAATACAATTTTCTCAATAATTAAAAGACTTTTGATACACCCCAGATTAAAAGATTTCAGAATTATTTTCCTTTGTAGAATACTTACTTTGACATGCTAATCATACCTACAAAATCATTCTTTAGAAACATACCAGAATCGTTAAGTATAAAAGCAGATGAAACCTAAGGCATCTGGCATTTAATCAACTGACTCTCTAGAGAACAGGGAAACGGAGGCACAAAGATGAAAAGATGACCTGAAAGTCAACAGCAAAGGAAATGTGAAAGAATACCATTTGTTGATTAGTCAAGCAGATCTATGAAGAACTAAAAGAATAAATAGAACTTGTATGAATTGGTAAATTAACTACATAAATACAGATATGGGGACTATGAGGTGGGGCAAGCAAAGGGGGCAGAGTAGCTAGGATGGGACACGGGTAGCATGTACATACTGTAATTCTGTCAGACCGTGGCTGAAAGGAGGAGAAAAGCTGTTGGTTTAAAATTTTCAAAGATTTTTACCAGCTAAAAATCCAGATTGCAAAAAGTGTAAAATCCTTAGAGGTTGTGGGGAGGAATCACTCGACGCAAAAGAGTGCTGATGAAGGAGAGTCAAAGTGAGTCAGGCATGTAATTTCCTGGATAAGATAACTGTTTCATAACCAAGGAAACCTGAATTGGGCTTTCAAAGGAAATATTTAACAATCATGATCTCTGTTCTCAAAGATTAAGAAACAAACAGGAGAGCTCAGCAGGTCTCCATTTTAACAGAGATACTAGCTAAAGTAAACACTGTAGGAAAAGGCAAATCTCACAAACTCAAAATTAACAGAGAGGCTGGAAAAAGATTTCTCAGATTTTTGCAACAGCTTCTAAGGAGCCTGTGGAGCCTGTGACATTTTCCATTCACTGTGGGGAATTTAAAAATTAAGCAGAATTTAATGTCACTTTAGTCAAATATTAATGATTTTATTTTAAATATTGTATTATATTTGTGTAGCAATATACCAATAAAGCCTTAATAATATAGATCTAAAATTTAAATACTCTTATTGAAACAAGCAAGTGACCTTTTCCCTGAGGCAAAGCCAGACAGGCACCAGAGCTGAGCTTTTCCAGGCCTCTTTGGCATTACTTCTGGTTGGCCCACCTTGCTCCCCAGTGAGTCATGAGTTCCTGGAGGGCAGGGAGTCCAGATCCCCAGGGCCTAGCACAGTGCTTGACTCATGGCTGTTCGATAACATTTGTTACCTTTAATTATCCAAGCTCAACCTAACTTTAAGCAAAGTGCTCCAACCATCCAAGCACCACAGTTCAATCAAAACCAGCTTTGCAACTTACACCTACAAGCTCAGAAATAAGTGGCTCACTGATAGCTTGTACTGCAAATTCACTTTTATTATGTGATGGGAAACTGAGAAGACATGGTGGCAGTATACAGAAAACTGTTAGCTGGGGTTGCCTGACAAACAGTGATGACAGTGACAGGAATGCAGGATGGGTACAGGGCTGAGCATTTATTTAAAAGGAACAGAAGGCAAGGCAATTCTAGAGGAAGTCTAGGAAGTGCTGTATATTAAGCTCAGTCTACAACAGTCCAATTATTCTTAAAGATTAAAAAAATGCAGCATGCTGAAACCAGGCAAAAGATGGCTCTCAACATATTTTAGCAACTTAAACAGCATCATATTTAAAGGGATCTTTTAAAATCAAATATGTTATCCCTTGCGCCAAAATGGTGTTGCTTCTTGACATGTAATTTGTGCAGGGGATGGGGATAAAGGAGAAAGAAGAAAACAAACCCATTATGTATAATATGAAAACCTGTGATTAGAATTTCAAATAAATACTACCTATATAGACCCCGATATCTTTGGAGATTATGGAATAAGCCCTGTGCCACATATTTTTTAAAAACACCACCATGGTTAAGGTACTGAGAACTGACTAATCATGTAAAGTGGTTACTATTAAGTTCATTTTACAAATGAAAAACTGAGGTAGGAACTTGTCCAACATCACGCAGCTAGTGAGGAATAACAGAGATGGAGCCATTTTTCCGGTATCTAGAGGCACTAGAGAATTCCTGTTGTCCAGTATTTTTGATCATATTAATATATCTTTACCTCTTTTTAAAAATTTGATCATTTAACAAAAATTTCTAATAAAACATGTACCTGAATACAAAGCACATATCCAAACACTTTTTCCCACATAAAAGATACACAAAAACACTGTGGACTTTCTCTGAAGCTCATGTGCAACACTTTGAATAGGCCTGTTTCCTGATTCTCTTTAAGCTGTGTACATATGCTAGTCTTTCTGAATTTGAGATTAGTCATTAAACTGTGCCAATTAACTAGAAGTGATACATCAAGGTCCTGCATGAACTACAATTTTCCTAGTATTCCAAATGAGAAATTAACACTTCTAAAGCTATATTTTTGACCTTGTTTTATAAGTATGCTTGATATCAAAATAAATATTGGGCTCCTAAGATCCTTAAGAATCTGAAATGGGCAGAAATTGCTCAACTAGAAATGAGAATGAATATCAAATCCTTACTCCATTACTTTAAGAACAGAAGCTCAAAGGAAACTTAAATTTAGTAAGGTAAAAAGTACCTCTTTATGACTTTAGCCTTTCAGGAAGATATTGGTAGTTAGAGAGAAAGGGAAAGATTGCTGAAATATTTAAAATCTAGTCTTGGTTCTCACATTTAGGTATGTGGCTCTGAAGAAGTGACTCAAACCATCATAAGGCTGTTCTCTAAAAAACAAAAACAATGATGATCCCTGCCTATCTCCTAGGTTTGTGGCAAGGTTTTAATGAGGCCATGGAAGTAAAGTACTTTATAAATTGTAACATTCCATGCAAATGCCACACATTATTTTTAGATAGATCCCCACATACAAACCAGGTTTGTGTTCCAAATGATTGGTACTAAATCACTTGCTTAGACTACGGAAGACGTGGTCCTATAGAGGCAGTGCTATAAATGGAGATTAGCCTGTACACGACTATTTAATTCAAAAGAGACCCACAGCACAGTGTTAACAGCACGACTGCAAATCCATCTACCTGTCACATACCTGGGTTTAGCAACCAGGGGTGGGAGCTAAGAGTGAGATAAAGATATAAAAATACTCCTGGGTACATTCAGTGTCCTTCTAGGTCAGTTATTTTACAAGCAGTTTGAGGACGGTGACAAATGATAACTGTCCCCATACCTGCCTCTGCTAAATAAAAACTGTAACTATCCAAATGCTTGTAAGAACTTTTTGTATACTAAGTGTTCTGAGAAGGTGTGATTTGTTTACATCTCTGAACAAAAGCATACCATTTGGGGAAAGAAAATTAGCAGATTAGTTTGTAAGTGATTGAAAAGACTAAAATGGAACTATTAATATACTTTTAATCCTTCTTCCTTGAGTTGACTATACATAGCTAAATCATGAACAGCGATCTTTAGATGAAAAGTGGACTTTATCTTCTTCCTAAGTCATATACAGAGACATATTTTCCAAGCTATCTGAATAAATTCTGCTTGCTTTAATAATTCATTTACAGTCCTGATAAGCTGTCACACATAACTCCTGTAGATTAAAATCATTTAATAATTTTCTTTGTCTAGTAGAAGCACAGTAACTTTATTTTCATATGCATCTCTCAATTTTTAAAAATTGCCACTGATTATAAATTATGTTTTAGTATTGGTAATATGAGAAATTCTACTTTTCTTGGGTACTATGTAAAAGAAACAGTATAGGCCTGCCACTTCATTAGTAATTACAAAAAGTCAAATGAAGCTACTGTTTATGACAACTGTCTGGTACTTTAAAAATCTTAGCTTCAGTATCTTTGCATTATTGATGAAACTTTTTAAACCAGTTTTATGACATCGGCCTTTGAAAGTTTAAGGCTCCTAAGTCTGCTGTGAAGGCATTTTTTTCATGCCTTTACTATTTAATAGGTATCATCTTCTAAGATTTTCTGATCCTTTCCTTGTATGTTTCTTTTCTCAGAAACTCATTCACTCACAGTTTCAACTGTGTTTCTAAAATCTTAACTAGTAAAACAAAACAATACACAAAATGATTATATGAAAGCCATGTGTTTGGTTTTGGAATGTTCCATGGTAGTTTACACTGGGATAAGATTATGACTATTACCTTGGACAACTGCTCGTGCCACTGGGCAAGGTGCTTTCCCCCTTATTTAATATTCATAATGCCTCTAAGAAATAGGTGCAGTTGTTCTAAGACTGATAGGTAAGAAAACAGACCTAAAAGTAACTAAAGTTTTCTGCTAGTAAGTGGTAAGAAAAAAGATACATTCTTAGAATTCACATGACTTTGATCTTCAGAGAGGGACAGAGCAGATCCCTAAGTGTAAAAAGTTTCAAGATAGAAGAAAGTGTATTCATAAAGATAAGTGAATCCACTCAGGTGTCCACGAGGACTTCACTGATCCAACAACTTCCATTTCTACATGGTACTTTGTAAGGGAACTTACAAGTATGACTATTAGTTTCGAAGTTATACTTGAAAGGTCAGTGAGTTAGCTATAAGAAAGTTGTAACTGTTACCTAAGCACATAGACACAAAAGTGATCAAAACAACCCCAGTGACAGTGACTCAGTGGACATTTTAATGATATATATGTGAACTTCTAAAAACTACACTTTGTTACGTAGAATAGCTAAGCACAGGCTCCAAAGTGATTCAGATGATCTTCCTCTGTGTCTTTATCCTGGAAGATCTGTTTATTTAATATTTGTTTGGATAAGTAAAGAAGAAAATGACTTACTTTTCAAAGAGTTTGTTCAAAAGGTGGCATTTTTTCCCTGTTTGGGGTCAAGATTAACCAGAGGTCAAGACTACATTAACTATAACTTCAGTACTCCAAGAAACCCAATTTGATAAGGACTTGTGTGCTATTTCATTTGTTCCCATTTTCACTGTTTTTCTTTTGAAATGTTCAAGAAACACAACTTAAATTTCATTAAATAATCCAATATATCTTTTGAATAAAATCGGGCAGGTATCAGTATATTTTAAATATGTGAAGACATAAAACACAGAGCTAATGTTAATAAAATCTTTTACCTTCTGGGTCATAGGTTTGAAAAACTCTTCTGGCTTGTTCTGAAGGAGTTTCAGGGGCAACTAAAGCCATATCCTGAAAAGGTAAAAAGCATGTTGTCAATAAGCTTACAATATCATGACATTAAAAAGACAACGGATACTAGGGTAGGAAGACTCTGAGTTACATTTGTATCATAGGTATGTAACGAGATAGGTCATAAACTCTCCAGGCCATTTATTTTACATCTGAAAAAAACACAATAAAATTTCAACCACAGAAAACTGTTGTGAACATTACATGTGAAGCTTTATATAAATACTTAAAACACATGGGAAAAAAGACTAATATTATATTCATAATTACTAGAAAAATGTAGTATGCAAAACCTCATTTTTTTCACATTTGGTTCAGGTAAGAAATAAAATACACTCTGGTTTTCAAATATTCAAAAATCCAGAGATATATTAGAGCAAATAATGATACAATCAGCAATGCATTTAGAATTTTAATTTAGTAACCTAGTCAAAGCTCAATCAAGTTCTACCTGTCCAGAATTTTAATTTTTCTGTACTCAAAGGATATACCCCTAGAGGCAGAAATTTCTTGTCCCCATAAAACAAATTCTCTACCATGACTAATTCATCACAGAAAACATTTGTCAGAATTCTCAGCACAAAAATTCAGTGTTATCTTTGATTCTTTACAAACATTTACTCCACATATCTAAGCCACTATGAAATTCTGCTTGACACACATCAGTCTAAAATGTAGGCTCCTGTTTACCTCTGGTTAGCTTTTACCTGTAATTGTCTTTGCCTATAATGGTGTTCACTCAGACAAACTTCATCAGAGAACAGGTTTCCAAGTATCCCTTCCTCCTACATTGAATTCTTTTCATAGGGTACAAGTGTTAAAATCTAAAATGCTGTTCCCTTGTGGACACAATTTTTGCAAGAAATGTACTTCTTAACTGTTATTCTAATATATCACCTTTACCCTGTTCACAGATTAAGAAACTAAGAATCAAAGGAGTTCTAACTAACCATGAGGACTCAGTTTCTGAAAAACTGTATTTATAAAACACAAGAATGGGACTTAAAACAAGGCAACCTGTCCAAGCCCTTACACTTGTTCCATGTATTACAATAAAAGGTAAAGTAACTTAAAAAAGATCTGATATTTTTTAACATTTGTAAAACTGTGTAATGTACAAGTTTTCTCTCATTTGCCTTCCCTTGCTAGAAACTTCTTAGGCTCACCCTTCAGTGCATATCCAACATTATTTTGCTGATAATGTGTGTGCCCAAGTGACATGTTTTCCTCTGCCTTAACTTGCAATGCCTTTTGGAGTTTCTGATCTAGTCCTTTATTGCTGGACCACTGAATTCTATCTAGTCTTTTCCTGTTAAAAAAAAATGCAGAATCAAACTTGAACCTGTAATTTCATAAACGTATTTGCATGGCAGGTCACCAGAGTGGGATGGCTGAGTCAAAGACAGAATGCACTTGTAATTTTAGAAGATGGTGCCAGATCCTTGAGTTAGGTTTATTTAAGCTGAACAATATTTATTAACCCTCTTTCCTTTTTCTGATACATTGCCAATACAGCCTTAGCTCTACAATTAACTTTTATGCCAATGCTAGGATTCCAGTGTTGGCTCTCAGATTTAGGGAGCAATTGCTGGCACGTGGGTTATTTTGATTCCTTAGTTCCCTTGATCACTCCCAAACCTTAGTTGCAGATGCCTACATTTATTCTAGTAAAAGCTTTAGCTCCCTTAACTACTTCTAACACTACATTTTTCTTTATCAATTCTCTCCGTAAGACTGTTGACATTCGTAGATGAACACCGTAACTGAAATTCTGGCTGAGAAGAAGGTACATAGTTACAGATCAGATTTTATGTTGAGGGGTACTTACAGGGTCACAAAATCAGGATACAGTCATTCTTACTATTTACCATCTGTTCCATTCTCAACATTTTTTTTTTTTTTTTGGGGGGGTAACAAATGATTGAGGAAATGTTTTGAAATGAGTTTTAAGACATTGCTTAGAATTTCTAAGTATTAAAACTATAATCTAAATAGAAGAAAAGGGAGTACCAGGTTAGCCTTTTGGGGTTAAATGAAATCTTTTGGGGGGAAAGGTAGTAGAAATATAACTGAAGCATTACTTCAATATTGCTACAAAGTGAAGTTTGGGAAATTATTGCTGTTTATATAGTTGCGGGAAGTAAGTAAAATTCCAGTTTTTAGCCACAGAAGGTTTACATCAGATTCTCTGGCATTAGGGACTGCAAAGTTCAGGAGTGTAAAAAGAATTTAAAACAAACTACCTGATGCCATGTCTCTAAGTTCCAAGTGTTTTTTAAAAATACTATACTAATATAGAAAGAAATTAAAGTAAACCTTAATGAAAAATGTACCGCATATCTCTTTCTTGCCTCTGGTTCGGGCTTGCTACAGAAAGAGAAGTTGGAACTTAGGCAAAAGTCCTGGTATACTCTAGTTAACACATGTTCATTTAGAGCAGGGTTTGGCAAGCATTTTTCTGCAATGGGCCATGGAGTACATTTTTATGTTTTGCAGTGTGCATGGTTTTAGCAGCAAAACAAATGACCATGGCTATGTTCCAATAAAACCTAACTTTACCAAATCAGGTGGTGGCTTCATTTGGCCTGAGGGCCGTTTGCTGACCTGTGATTTAGATATTACATATTTTTCCTCCAAATGCCCTAACATTTATTAAACATGCCACCTTTTTGATATATACATATGGCAGGGGAGATTAAAGACATCTTAATCACTTTCATAGGTTTTACAAAGAACATATTTTGGCTATTATCAGAAATAGAAAAGAGCAGGGAATTCTCGCTAGAAAAAACAGAATCATGAAAGGCAAGGAGATGTAACTTCATAGCACACAGGGAAACTGAAAAAGCTGAATAGGACTGAGAACTGTGACAGAAAAGGAGGACTTAGAAAGGGAAATGAGCTTTGACAGAAGAATGAAAATTTGATTTTTGAATTTTTAAACTTTGGAGGTAACGGTTAACTCCATGGGTTCTACTTGGATGTTTATCTTAATACTTGGCAGACTACAAATACTCACCGTTTGCCAACTGTGGGCTTCTCATGAGCTATTAGAAATAGAACACTAGCATTACGTGGAGGTAGGGCTAGAGAACCTGCCAGGGAAAATACTGAAAACTGATGAAAGCAGATTCCTTCAAGGAACTAAGAAGCGACTACAGTTGTCCTTGAACAACACAGCTTTGAACTGCATGGGTCCACTTATACATGAATTCTTTTTCAATAAATATATTGAAAAATATTCTTGGAAATTTGCGACAAACTGTGCAGCCTGGAAATATTTTCAAAAATTAAGCAGGCCATGCATGCATAAAGTATAAGTAGATACTAGGTCTATTTTATTATTTACTACCATGAAATGCCACAAATTATAAAAAATTAAACCGTATAAAAACATAGGCATACAGACTGTACCTGGCACCATTCACAGTCAAGAGATGTAAACAAATGTAAAGACACAGTATCAGATCATAACTGCATAAAATTAACTTTAGTACATACTGTACTAGATAATTTCACCATCTCCTGATGGTATTGTGGTGAGCTCATGTTGTATCTGCTTAGAGTACAAGTGTGGTGCTAATCATCCCCACATGTACAGCTCATCACTCCAGTGAGTTCCACATCACAGGAAAAAGTGATCTTTCACAGTTCTCACGTACTTTTCACCTTGTTTAGTGAGACACTGTGTATATCTTGAATAAAACCAACAGACCCATATGAAGTGCCACTAGTGATGATGGAAGTGCTCCCAAGAAACAAAAGTCAGGATGTAAGAAAAAGTGGAATTGCTTGATATACACCATGAATTGAGGTCTGCTACTGTGGTTGCTCACTATGTGAAGATAAATGAGTCGAGCATAAAGAACAATGTAAAGAAAGAAAAGGAAATTCGTGAAGCCATCACTGCAGCTATGCAAACCTTCTGCTTTTTGCAAAATACCTTCTTGTACAAAAAATGCAACTTGTATATAAGTGCAGGATTGCTACAGGAAGGGGATACCTTTAGACTGTCATATGATTCAAGAAAAAGTGCAACACAAAAAGTTAAAGAAAAACAAAGGGAAGGAGCTAAAGGTGGAGAACTTAATGCCAGCAAAGGGTGGTTTGATAATTTTGGAAACTGGTTTGGCTTAAAAAATGTCAAGGTAACAGGAGAAGCAGCTTCTGCTAATGAAGAGGCAGCAAGTAAGTTCCCAGATACCATTAAGAAAATCTTTGAGAAGAAAGAATATCTTCCTGAACAGGTTTTTAATGCAGACAAAGGTGCTCTATTCTGGGGGGAAATGCCATAAAGGACATTTATATGTAAGAAAGAGAAGCAAGCACTAGATTTAAGACAGGAAGGAAAAGGCCATTGTTTTATGCAAATACAGTCAGGGTGATGATCAGGACTGCCCTTATCTACAAAACTGCTAACCCCAAGCCTTGAAGAGTAAAGATAACACCAGCTGCTAATCTTTTGGTTGTTTAAGAAAGCAAGCCTGGAAGAGAATGCTTTCTCTGGATTGGTTCTGTCAATGTTCTGTACATGAAGTTAGGAAGTACCCTGCCAGTAAGAGACTGACTTTTAAAGTTCTTTTGATATTGGACAACATCCCTGGCCACCCAGAACCCCATGAGCTCACGACCCCCATGAGCTCATGACGGAAGGCATCAAAGTAGTCTTAACTGCCCTCAAATGCAACATAACTAACTCAGCCTCCAGATTAGGAAGTCATGAGGACCCTTTGAGGCTAATTACACAGAAGTCATGAGGACTCTTTGAGGCTAATTACACATAGTACTCTGCAGAAAAGATGGTTATTGCTATGGAAGAGAACCCCAACAGCGAGAACATCATGGAAGTCTGGTAGGATTACAACACTGAAGAGGTCATCACAGTTACAGAAAAAACTAATCCATCCAGCCTCAAACATATTCCTGCAAGAGACGACTGTGTCCAGATGCTGAGCATGACTTCACAGGATTTACACAGCGATTCAGGGTACAGGGGTAAG